TCATTTGACTGTGCTATTGGCTTAAACAGGAACATTATAATTGACGCTATGAACATGTATTAGGACAGAGTAATATTACATGAATATATATGTATACATAAAATATATCCATAAAACACTTGAACATTTATAATATTCTTGAGATTTCGCGACTTTCGCGACAAAAATTGCTTATTTTCATATTGACGTTTAACAAATTAAGATCTGTGCCGCTATATAATAGTTAAAAATAGCAAACTAACTTGTGCCAATTGATTAACATTGGAATATCTTTCGTTACCGTCGTCAAACTTCGGTAATCGTTCTGCACAAATACCATTAACTTTAATTCGAGGTGGCATATCACCACCACATTCCAAATTTATTTTCAATATTTTATTATCACGACTATTTGATGCCATGTATTCACTGATAACATCATCACACATCTCAAAACAATATATAAGATAAAAGATTATCTCAGATATTTTAGTCATCAAAATTACAAAAAAAGTTCATCCTTTGATCCGATCAGTTTTATTTCGATTACCTTCAAAATAAATTCATAACGTTCCGTATTTCTATCTTTTTCGCATGGTATAACAATTCGTTCGAATAAATGTCCTCGCATGCGATCTCGTCGCTCCGCTTCATTTAGCATCGCCAGTGATTTCGCTGATAGCACTTTTTGAGCAGGCATTGAATCGCACAAAAGACGCTGATTTAATTTCGCACGACAAATGATATCTTTGTAGTGTGGTAGCTAAAAGTTTGCTAAATTAAGCATTAGTGTAAGCAATTTAAAAAAGATTTTATTATGAATTTGCGTCAGTGTAATTGTTAACTAAAAAAATTAAATTCTGAGTTTTTGTAAATATTAGTTTAAAATATACAGCAATACACAATGCAGTAATAAATTAATAAATTTGCTGCTTTAAAAATAAAAAATTCTACGTTAACGGTGGCTGTAATTTTCTTCATACTAACAAATGATTTTCAATCAAAAAAAAAAAACTTAAATATTTCGAAATAGCAAAGTAAACTTACCATTTTAGCATTGTTAAAAGTGTTAATAAGACTGTGAGACCAGGCTTCATACGATATTGTCCCAGAAGACTGATCCCAGCTGTAGAGCAGGTCAACATCAAATTCATACATTTCATCATTTGCGGATTTCAAAGAAATGGCCGGTGTTCTGCTGACTTGGGTTGACTGAGTTAGCGGTTGCTGTTAAAAGTATTTTGAACTTTAATGGATTGATTGATTATAAACAATTTGAATAGATTATCTAATGAATTACAGTTTAGATACTTTAACAGTTTAAAGGTGAAATCTATCCAAATTTATTCAACTGCTCGATAATTAAGCCATATTGTTGCAAAAATAGGTGGATCGACTGTTAAAATAAGAAAAGCATAGTAAGACAGTCTTAGACAGTTCGATAAGGATGCCACTGATATGGCTAAAGAAAGAATGTGAGTTATTAGATGAGAATTGTAGGAATAGAGAAAAATATTTATTAAAAGTTTTTCACCGACAACAATTACCGATTCTGCCTCAAATGAATCTGTGCCACTTTTTTCGGAACTCTTAAACTTTCCGGAAAGCGCGTTATTTGCGGCCTTTATTGTCGAGATTATCGGTTCTTCGGTACCAAATGGGTCTTCGCTACTTTTCGCATATTTTTTTGCTTCCGGTTTTTCCGACGCCTCTGTCATTTGCATTCCAACCGACGAACTCAGAATTCTTATCACTAATTAAATGAAATTTTCCGAAACTTGGTGAATTTATACTAACTAAGTGGATGGATGATTTGAAATTCTTCCACTATAGAAGCTTATTCAGTACTCTACGTTTAACCGTATTCGTTATCACTACGTAATTTACATATCTATTGTACTCCCATAACTTCACGCATGACTTCAAAAATGGAATTGCCATACTGTCTTCAGTCTGTCTAATTAATGGGTAATGAGTTAGCATCATATCTGCTAAGTGATATAGACCTGAAATCAGTTGTTTGTTTCCACATCAGATAATGATAGTTCACATTCGCTAAATTTGACCTTTCCTACTTTAGACATATCACTATCGTTCTTCCATTTTCAATCCAACCAATAAACTGAACGCTTTATGGCTAACTTCAAGTATGCTATCCAGAACGGTGGTGAAAATAAAGTTTCATCTTCTCAAGTTTGCCTATCAGTTCATTCTGAACAAAACCCTTAGTTAAATTATTCCATGTTGTCATATATTTTGCATTTCAATAATAGGTCAAATTACACTCCTGTAACCACAAATAGGACAACAACTTTTTAATAACTGCCATACGTCATAATATTAACGTAATCAATTGATTTATGTTTAAAAAAACTCTTACAGTTCAAAGGTTTTCGCCGTTATCAATGAAAATCGAAGAATTTACGGCAACTGAATTGCAGTTAGGACTATTTTAAGAAAACATAATCAACCAACTTATTTCTTGTCTTAGTGAGTCTTCTACTAACCGATTGATCAATCCTCTACTGACAGACTGATCAATTCTTTATTAACTGATTGATCAATTCTCAATTGACAAAATTCTCCACTCTTCGCAAGAATAGCAATGAGCAAATGATAGCAATTAGCAGTTATATTTATATCATAAAACTATCCATCTATAGAATTTATTTCATAAGGCACGTAATTAATGTCCATTCGGTGGCGTTCATGTCCGTTTCATCTTTTGTTTAGAGAGGACTGAAATTCATTTAAATTTAAATATTTCTCATCTTTGTCCATTCTTGAAGACAAAAAACTTCCCAGTACATTCAATGAGCTACGCATATTTCACATGAAATTTCATATCGATTGGAAAAATTCATTATTAATGAATGATTGTTGAATTCCTTCGAATGCATGCATATTCATCAAATTGATCCTGCAAAATATGTCTAATTTTTTAATTAATTTATCAAATTCTCATTATCTCATTAATCTCATTAATTATTAATTAATTTATCAATATCAATGATTTGGTATTGCTGTAATGTTTAATGAGTCGATAAAAGCTCATGTCGCGAAAGTTGTGAAGTTTCAAGAATATTACAAATGGCCAAATGTTTATGGATA